CGGAAAAGGCAACATTTTTCGAAAAAATCCAAACTTTGACAGATCATATCTCCGAAGAAAAAAACATTCTTCGAATACGTGTTAGCTTATTTCATATATAGAATTTATAACAAAAAATGTCAAGCCAATCGGTGTCCGATATGAAAAATTATGCCTCACATATGAAATGATACAGCGACACAACACTACAATTGAATGTATTAAAAACACAAATTAATATTAAATTATTGATTGATGTTGTCGTCAGCAATGTTAGGTAAATTGGTTTGTTTGTTTTTGCCTTCAACATATGTATATGCATACATATCCTCATATGTATGTATGTATGTATTTCCACTGTTGCTACTCCCATTACTACCACGTACTTAATATATTAGTCGTAAATACATAGTACGTAACCATGCATTTGTATTCATTCCTATTGGCGTTATTCAATCGCTGCTCATAAGCTGTTAAACGTTGTGTGGTTTGTGTTACAAGTATGTACATATGAATGTATGTTAGCTAACTCGGGCCCCGTTCACGCCATGTAAAAATAGATATGCACTATGTGTGTACTATACTATACTTACTAAATACTTATACAGCCATTCACGTCAAACGTCTCTCTCTACATACAGTACACAGGCCCCAAACCATGGCAATGGCTGGCGCTCGCGTAACGTGGATCACGTTTGCCATGTCGTGCGTTTAGTTTCATTTTATTCGAGAAACGTAACGCGCTTAATACGAGTATTTATATGTAAATATGTGTATGTGTGTACATATGTATTTTAATTATTCCCACGTTTTTCTAGCGCATTCGTTTATTCACATGCCATTCGGTTGCGAGCAAATTGCTGTTGTTATTGGGTTATAAATGTACGTACATACATACATACATACGTAATACCTATTTCAATTTGTTTTTTTTTATTTTACATATTAATATTATTTATTAGCGACGACTGTAGTCGAATGATTAGAGATATGTGTACTATGTACATACAACTTAGTGGGACCTACATACATATGTCTGTTCGAAACCAAGAAAGTTTTTTCTTTGGCAATAGTCGCCCCTCGGAAGACATACATACATACATATGTACCTGCGAGTCAGTGCTGCCATATATGCACAAGCTTACAATTTTTAAAGTCACCTACTAAAAATTACAGTTTGTCAAAATTTCAGATTTAAACAAATCAGTTCATATATCATTTTCGGCTATTGCGTTAGTAACTTTTTAAGATAAAAAGTGTTGATGGAGGTGCCACGTTTTCTCTTTTGATAAAAATGGAGTCAACTGTTTTCCAGTAATACCCTTTGAGAACGTAGTTTTTCAAAAATCTCTTCGTTGTAGAAGGTTAAACTTTTTTTGTTGGAAAAACAGTTTTATTCTTAGGAATTTACAGTTTTTTTTTTTTGAAAAATAAGTCTGGCAACACTGCAACAAAAACGAATACAAAGACTGGATGTAACGATAAATACGAAGAGGAATGCAATGTTTTATACGAGTGCGAATACGATCTGCTGACGAATATGAAGACAACGCCTGACACAACACGAATCTGAAGCCGAAGACGAAAAGGTCGATGCTGCATACGAAAACTAAAAGGGATACTTGAAAACAGCAACTAATAGTAACACGAAGGTAAATGCGACGACTAATACGAAGAAGAATACGTCAAATAGCGCATAAAACGACGTAGTAGAATTTTTGGTGCCCTTAAAAACTATACCTTCGAAAAGCGATGTTTTTGAAAATACCAACAATCCTACTTTGCAGATATCTATGATCGCATTTTTTGAAAAATTCGATTTTCGACTATATGAGGGTAGGTGGAAAAAAGTCATGGTGACAGTTGATAAACAAAAAACCTTTTGGGCTTAGAGGGAAAAGTAAAAGTCATAAATAAAAAATGTCCCATCATTTACTTACCCCGCCCATCTCTTTACGAGTAGTACATTTCCAATGAAATACTACAATCAGTGCGATACCGACTAATCTGTTTAGTTGCTTCTGGCGCCGAACCCATTATAACAAGTATTTCGTTTTCAACCGTAATCATATCTTTTAATAGCCTGATTATGGCAACTTAACTTAACTTAAGGGAACGTAGAACTTCGAAAATCCAAATGAAACAGATTCGACGTGGCATTAACTTACATTAAGTTTCAGCTGTTCAATTATGAGCAACATCCATTTAAGACAATGTTTAAGTCAGAGCCTGTAAGTTACGTTAAGTGGTCATAATCAGACCATAAGTGTCAGGGCTTATTCACGTGAACGTTTTATCATTTACGGGTATTTTTCTCTTTTTTATGAAAAAAAAAAAATTATTTTTGTTATTTTATGGCCTTACAACAATTATATTCAACAAGAATTCACAAGGCGAACTTAGCACAGTGCGTAGGCAACTGGCTGAGTCAGTAGGATCGTCGGTTCGAATCCTACTGAAAGAAGTCTGATGAGGAAATGTGGTGATTTCCGAAATACCTATCACTTGTACCATTTTTTTCAAATTATTGTTGCTTTTCCACAATAAAGATTATTAATAACCAAGTGTGGGTACATACCGGCTTGTCAAGTCTTCATGTCAGAAGCATTTTTGCGAGTTGTAGACAATATGGTGATCCAAACCTCCCCATACTTTCTTTATACATATATATATGGACATATGGCTAGAGTGAACAATAATAGCTCACGATTGTACATACATACATAAATAAATACGTATGTATGTATATATGTATGTATGGCTCACGAGCTATTTTTAGAATACTATTTTCTATTTAAAATGGATAAATAATGACATACTATGTAGATGCATATAGATTAGAAACATTAGCGAGGTAATTAGTGAAGTTAAAGTAATGTTATGTAATTTTGAGCAAAATATTTACAAACACAAACACGAAAAGGTTAAATATACGAACACATTAAAGTCTGTGTTTTTTTTAGATTACAGTAATAAACTAGTTAAGTAAGTACTCCGCACCAAGTAAAATTTGACCCGTTTATTTAGATATACCACGCTGCCAGTCGTTGGCATTAAAAAACGCGAAGCTTAGCGCTCCAAATTAGAGATGGCTGTTAGTATTTTTAAACGAAACAAATAAATATCTGAATTTCTGAGTGAAGGGAGGTTAAGGATCTCTCCCACGTCAGCTCGCCAGCACATCTGCCCATGGAAATAGCGAGAATTGCGCAGGAGAAAAAGGCTTACCCCAGGTTTCCAAGAGGAAAGAAATCATGCTAAAAGCGGAACAATGCCACAGCCGTTTTGTCTGTAAACAAAATTTTACAAAGAGCGACGGAAAATCGTTGTAAAATACATCACTTGCTCACCCTATGGAAGAATCGAGCAGCATTCACTTTTTTTTTTACTTCTTTAAATTTTTTCAACTATATAAATATGTACATATTTACCTTATAAAAATAACCACCAAACACTATCGCTAAACTTCCACAAAATTATTAACAGCAATAGTTGTGTTTGTTTACTCATTTCCAGTAAAATCTAGTAAAAGTATTTACAAATTTTCATGTTTTGGCATTTACGTACGCAAAAACTTGCAAAGTAGGGGAAATTGAGAGAGCGAAAATTACAGTTGAAGTTGCAGTTTTTTACAGAATAAATTTTTACTTGTAAGAATTTTCCAGTACGAAAAACAGCTGATCGCATGTTGATGGATGCAATTTAAACTAGTAAGGGAACTGTTTATGGGTTTTATTGTTGAAATTGGCAAAATAAACCGATTTAAATATATGTAAAATATATTGTTTTATCAGGAATTTGCTGCGAATAAACAAGCAATTTATCAGCTGTTCATGAAACTTGCAAATTATTACTATTTAAATTTGCGTACGGGTACTTTTTTTTGGAAATTTTTTCTATGAGAATTCTCAGAAGTTAAGTTACTGGAGAGTTGCTGGCAAGTTACTAGATAATTTGTAAACAAACACAACTAATGTCTGTTGGCTGCGTGAGTCAACGGAATTCTTTGGCCACTTCCGGCCGTGTAAATATTTGTCACAAATATGAACTCATATTTTTTTGCACCTGCGTATATTTGAATGCTGGAGTTTTAGTGACGCTGCAGCTAATCTCTTGAAACAATTGCAAATATGGCAGTTATTTATCAAAAATGCATACATTTTAATTGCATTTGCCGTAAATAAATCATTAAATGCTAAACTTAACATGTGTCTATAAGAATATAAAACCCTGAGTAAATACTTATTTATAACCAAATAAAAATATAGTATGCCATACTACGAATAGTAATAATAAATATTTATACAAATAATTTTACGCTATAAAAAATATATAGATATGTGATTGTATGCACGTTTTAACTCTAAGTAGATATAAAACACATAGATAAGTATTTACAAAAATAAAATTTCCATAAAAAACTTTTACGGAAATAACCAAATAAATGTTCATACCTACCTTTCATACTTAACCGAATGTGGAGCATGTCCATTCGCTTCGCTCCAGTACGATTCCATAATTTCGTACTTAATTTTGCTGCTGTGCGCCGGTTGCAGTTGAGGTGGAATGATGGCAATTGTCGTTGGCTGACTGGAGACGACAATATCAGTTGTTGGAATAACCGGAACAGCTTTGTTGGCAATGGTGAACGTCTTCGTTGATTCCGTTGTCGTCGTAGCCGTAGTCGTAGTCGTCGTGAAACTTGCAATAATGGCGGCGGCAATGGCGAATTTCCTGTGCAGTATCAGTGAAGTACGCTTAGCTTTTAGTTGCTACTTTAGCTAAATATGTAGTTAGTATGTAGGTATGTCGGCTGACTGGATGTGTGATTGCGACTAGTATGTATGCCCCGTGGAGTAATAACTCTCTGATGACGTTAGACAGGTTTTACTTTTTATTTTTTATTTTTTTTCACTATCTAGTTTAGCAAAAACAAATGGTTAACAGGTTGTCGGGATGCTTTGTCGCAATAACAGTCGGCTCACTTTGCTTGCTCACGTTTGTTGTAAGCACTTTTTTATTGCTGTATATTTTAACGACTGCATGCAAAAGTTGTCGCGAAAAGTATTTTTAAGTTTGAATTTGAATATTGAATAATTTGATTTTGTACGTACGCTATTTTATGGCGTGTTCTTATTTAAAGTATTTTTTTACAAATTTTCTACAAAGATGCACTTGGCCGAAATTCGTCTGTTAAGGAAGTGGGATTGGATTTGAAAGAATGAAGAAGGCTTCCGACCCCGGTCAGGTACACGTTATCACAATTTAACCTTTTACACAATATTTGCAGCAATTTCTTCTTTTTTTTGTGTGTGTGTTTGTACAGGTATGTAGACAATTTTATAACACTATACTAGTAAACACTGTGCACACACTGCAATTTATTGCGGCAGTATTGTGAATATCCAGAAATGATCCCAATAACGACAGGTAGTTAAATCATGAACTTGACGTCTTGTGCCCGAATTTAACATAACATTTCACTTATCCACATACTAGTTATTAAAATTTTAGCTTTCAACTTTATTTACATACGAATATTTAGTTTATTTTTATTTTCACTTGACACTGATAATGTTGAGTTTGGTATTTTGTGAGGAAGTCAATAACTTTGTTTCAGCTGTCGTCGTTGCGATATGTCTATGTAAACGTGTATACAATTATTGCGGCTATGTGTATGTATGTATATATGTATACATAGAAAGGTACATACATTAATTTATGTAGTCTTTTAAAAGGCAATGTTAAGCTGATAACACTTTTCTGATAATGCCGACGTATTTTTATATTTTGCTTATCGCTTATTTACACGAATGCTTAGTGTGTTGTAGGTACATATAAAGAATTTCATAAGTTATGCATTATTGTATAGAAACACGTACCTAGCTACAAAACTGCTAAATATTTTATTTGTAGTAATTGGTTTGTCGGCGGGTTTGAGTTGTCTTATTTTTTTTTCTTTTGTTGTTTTAAGAATGTATAAAGTACATTAGAAATAACACTTTTTAATCAAATGCGCACTGTTTGTAGTTTGATTCTTTTTCAGCCAGCAACCTTGTAATCCGCAAAATATTTTTTTTTTTTACTTTTATTTCGCAGCAGTTTCGCATGAAAACACTTCACAAAACATAGATTTCCAACTTGGATCTCAAATCTTGTAATTTGGAATTTTTGAATATTTTATCACTTTGTTTGCTTAAACATTGCAATACATACTTGTAAATATCGTTATTTCCTTTACTTTTATTAGTTATTGTTTGTTGATTTTCATTTGGAATTTTCCACACTGATACTGATACGTGTGTACATAGTACTATATGTAATTCAGGGGGAAGCAACAACAGCAGAAAACAGCAACTGCGGCGGAACGGCAACGACACCGCCCGAATTCTTTTATTTTTATTTTTTATGTATAGCTATTTCTTGGTTTTCGTGTTTTTCGTTTCTGCTTTGATTCGTATATATGTACATATGTCTGTATGAAAACCTTGAATCGCCTCCTAGACGCGCCGTGCACAAAGACTCAAATTTACAAAAATAAAACGTAAAAAACCTAGTGTTGAAAACGTGATTCTTATGAGAAATCTGCAGTGGCAGCAAGTAGCACACGAACTTTGGTTCACAGTGGTAAGCTTTTTCTCGATATATACACGTTTCTCAAATTGTCACGTTTATGCACATATGTATGTATGCATGTATATATGTATGTGCGTTGTATGTATTAATTTTCTTTTTGGCTATCTAGTATTTTTTGTTTTTGTACTTTGTACTTTCGTCCAGTATTGCTGAACTTTTCTCTTAATCTCTTATCCCAGCGCGATTTTCGTTTAACACAAGTAGATATATATATATATGTATGTATGCAGGTATTTCTCAATTGGAATTGCACCAGTTGCTCAGATGTATTATATATACATATGTGTATGTATAACTTTTTTTTTTTTTTACCACTGCCTGCTGTGCAATGGAATGTGAACTACACAAATTATTTTAACTTTTTATGTATATACTCAAATGGTATGTATTTTTGTAGGTATTATAAAATTTTATTGTTGCACTTGCCCTATTCGCTTATTTTAGAAGACACAAATCCAGAAATTGGTATTCCTTTTGATTTTGCTTCACACTTGCTAATGTGGGTATGCTGAATCGCGTGTTCACTAAACGCTCTCCCGTGTGCCAGCACAGTCTGAACTGAAATGAATTGGACGGAATTTCTAAAATTAACACGAGACTCACTGCGGTACAAAACTTTAACAACAACCCATGTCAAAAGCCCACGACGACAACAACAGCAATGACTACGTCTACGTTAAGCTACCCATACATAAGCATTTTATTTTCTTTAGTACCCTGTAGGGAAATCCAATGGCAGAGCACGAACAAACATACTGTTACGATTATCCTCGAAACCTTGAGGGATTACCCAAATATACTCG